AAATTCACATTTAAGGTTATTATTGATTATGGTTGGTTTAAATCTACCATCTTGCTATTTGTTTTCTATTTTTCCTAGGTGTTCTTTGCTCCCCTTGTCCTTTTGTTTTTTTCTTCCTTCTTTTAGATTAATTATTTTGTATTGTTCCATTTTATTTTCTTTGTTGGTTCATTAGCTATAACTCTTCATTGTATTATTTTAGTGGTTGCTTTATGATTTATTGTATATACCTTTAAGTTATCACAATCTATCTTTAAGAGATATTATACCACTTCACATATAGAATCAGAACCTTACAATGATGAACTTCCACTTTCCAGATTTTATGTAATTGTCATATATTATACTTTCACATATATTAAAAATCTTACAATACATGTTTATCACTTTGGTCTTTAACAACCATCTTTTAAATAGACTTCAGTAATAAGAACAAAAGTCTTTTATATTTACCTGTGTAGTTACCATTTCTGATGCTCTTCATTCCTTTGTATAGATCCAATTTTCTGTAGTACCATTTCCTTCTGCCTGAGGTACCTACTTGAACATATCTTATAGTTCAGATCAGCTGGTGATGAAATTTTCAGCTCTTCTGAAATGATTTTGAAATGAAAATGAAAATTATTTTGTTTTCACTTTTGAAAGAAATTTTTGCTGGTGTCGAATTCTAGGTTAACGGGTGATTGGCCCCCACACCCAGGATGGTGCTGGGTGGGCAGGAGAGGTGCTCTGACTCCTTGGCCCAGCCAGAGAAACTCAAATTCAACACGTCCCCTGCAACCGCCCTTCCTGCTGCCTCCCCCAGCACAGGCACTGGCCACACTGCTGATTCAGCTTCTCAGGCCACCTCTGTTCCTACACACAGATCCATCCATGAGACTTATTGGCCCCACCTCCCAGGCCTGCCTGCTCTGACCAGCCCACCATGACCTCCTGGGTTATCGCACTCCATGTTTTCTGCTCCTGCTCTGCGCTTCTGTCCTGACAGTGATGAGGTCAGACCAGGCCTTCTGCTCAGAAACCTGCAATGGTGCCAACCTCACCAGAAGGACAAGTCACCAAAGTCCCCTCCCCAACTCCACACAGTCAGCCTGGCTTCCTTCTGCTTCTGTGACATTCAGACGTTCCGAGCATGCTCCCTGCTGTGGACTGAATGTTTGTGTCCTCAAAATCTGTCTGTCTGTTAACATCTGATCCCCATTGAGATGGTATTTGGAGGTGGGACCTTTCAGAGGTAATTGAGTCAAGAGCTATCAAGAATGGGACAAGTGCCCTTATGAGAGGCCAGAGAACAAGCAAGGTCTCTACTATGTGAAGACAACCAGAGGACAGTCACCTGTCCAGAAACAGGGTCCTCACCAGACACTGAATTGACGGGCACCTTGATCTTGGACTTCCCAGCTTCCAGAACTGTGGGAAATAAATTCATGTTGCTGATAAAAAAAAAATTCTAGATTAACAGATTTTTGTTGTTATTGTTCAATACTTTAAAGATGTATTAAAGTCTGTCTTCTGGCTTGTATTGTTTTCAAAAAGAAGGCTGCCAACATTTTTATCTTCACGTAACCTCTTTGCAGAACTTTGTTTATTCTCTGTACATAATGTGCCTTTTTGTTCTGGTTGGTTTAAAAAAATTTTTTTTATCAGTAGTTTTAAGACATTTGATTATGTTGTGCCTCAGCATAATTTTCATCATGTTTCTATGCTTGGGGCTTATTTAGTTTCTTGGATCTTTGAGTTTATATTTTTTTCATCAGATTTGGAATTTTCTGGCCGTTAATTTTTCCTGTCTTTCTCACTCTCTCCTACACTTTGGGGACTCCAACTACATGTGTATTGGGTTACTTGAAGTTGTTTCACTGATACTCATTAATGTTTCTCTCTCTCTCTTTGTTTGTTTGTTTGTTTTAGTCTTTTTTCTCTCTGTCATTTTGGGTAGTTTTTATTGCTATGTTTTCAAGTTTACTAGTCACTGCATTGTCCAAGCTAGTATTAATCCCATCCAGCATATTTTTTCATTTCAGACCTTGTAGTTTTCATATTTAGAAGTTTCATTTGGGTCTTTTTAAAAAAAAATAACTGCCATGTTTTTGCTTCATATACACAAAATTTCCTCTTTGTGTATGTGATAATAGCTGTTAATAAGTGATAATGTTTTAATGTCCTTTCATATTAATTCTGTCATTTTGGGGCCAGTTTCAATTCATTGTTTTTTTTCTTGTATGTTTCATACTTCCCTACTTCTTTGCATGTATGGTAATTTTTCATAGGATGCTAGAAACTGTGAATTTTGGGTGCCACATATTTTTTTATTCCTATAAATATTCATGAGCTTTGTCCTGGGTTATAGTTAAGTTACTTGGGAATATTTTGATCATTTGGAGACTAGCTTTTAAGCTTTGTTAGGTGGGATCAGAGCAGTGTTCAATCTAGAGCTAATTTTGCCCCATTCATAATGAAAAACCGTTTTGAATATTTCATGGTGCCCCATGACTCATGAGGTTTTCTATTCTAGCTATTGGGAATAGGAACTACTTCTGGTCCTGTGTGAGCTCTGATGATTTATTCTCTAATTATTTTGGACGATTCTTTCCCAGTCTTAGGTACTAGCATAACAAATCACTCCAAAACTTATTGAACTAAAACAATGAACACTTATTATCTCTCAGTTTCTGGGGGTCAGAAATTTGAGCGTGGCTTAGCTGGGTGCCCTTTGGTTCAAGTCTCATGAAGTTGCAGCTGTCTGCCAGCGTTGTGGTCTCATCTGAAACCTCAGCTGGGAGAGAGTCATTTCCAAGCTCACTTACATGGCCATTAGACCCTTACCTCAAGAATGTCTCTGCGGAGCTATTTCATACAATAGCTTGCTTCCCTGGAAGTAAGAGAACGATGCAGAGTGTGCCTGAGGCAGAAGCTACAATCTTTTAAACCTAATCCAAAGTGACATCCCATCACTTTTGTTGTGTTCTGTTTGTTAGGATCAAGTCCAACCCACCCTTCATAGGAAGATACTACACAATGTGTGGATACCAGGAAGCGTGGGGTTAATTGGGGGCCATCTTAGAGGCTGCCTACCATTGCTGATTTGCTAACATGATACACATGCTGTTCAGTACTCAGCTGAGACTGAAGGGGGAGCCTTGGAAGATCTTCAGAGTTCTCTCCTGCAGCTCTCTCCTCCCTGGCGCTCTGCTCTGTGAACTGTAGCTACTTTGCTCTCCCTGGAGTCTCAATTGTATTTCATCAATTCAGAGAGATCATGTGGGTTTCCTTCCTCTGCACCATGTCCCAGAAACTGTCCAGGCAGTAAGCTGGGGCAACAGTAGGGCTCATCCCCTTTGCTTTCTATCTTTCAAGACTGTGGCAAGATGGCCAATGTCTTGAAAACCACTTTTTCATACATTAGCCTGAAACTTTAGTAGTTTCAGGTAGAAGAGAAAATCTAATCCATGTTAGTCCATTTGGCTGGAACCAGAAGTTTAGATCTATGTTTCTTAATAGCTGAGTTTCATTCTATTGTGTGGACATGCCATAATTAATTAAACTAAAAAGGTAATTAACCTTTTACAGATATATTGGGTTATTTCCAATTTTTCACTTTTACCTTCCTGTGGTGAATTTCCTGGTGTGTTTATCTTTACATACTTGTGCAAGGAAACATATTGGATAAATCCTTAGAACACTGAATCAAGTCATTGATCTGGTGTGTACTGGCTGTGCACATTTAAAATGTTGATAGATATTACCAAAATGCCTTCCAAAGAGCTTATACTTAGGTCTTCTCATGTGTGCCCTGTTAAACCAGGACTTTCTCCTCGTGCAATTTGGACTTATTTCTGTTAACATTAACTTTAACAGTTGATTCTGACACTTGAAGATCTATTTTTAAAAGCATCCTTATTGAGCCATGGCTGGGTAGTTTAGTTTCTTAGAGTATTGTTCTGACACACCAAGGTTGTGGGTTTGATCCCCAGTCAGGGCACGTAACAGAATCAACCAATGAATGCATAGATAAATAGAACAACAAATCGATGTTTCTCTCTCTCTCCCCACCTTTTTCTCTCTCTAAAATAAATAAAAATTTAAAATGATCATTTTTGAGGTTTAATTTTCATGCACTAAAACTCATACATTTAAAATGTGTAGTTCAGTGAATTTTTGAGAAACTTATCTGTTATAACCACCAGAATCAAGTTATGAGATTCATCACCCCAAAAGGTTTCCTCGTGCCCCATCCAAGACAATCTCTATTCTTCATCCAAGGCCCTAGGTAACCAACAAACTGCTTTCTATCTGTATAGGTTACATTTGTCTTTCCCAGGGTTTTATGTAAATAGAACAGAATCATACCACATATACTGTTTTGTGTCTGGCTCCTTTCACTCAGCATAGTGTTTTTGAGTACTGAGTTTCCTCCTTTTTATTTCCGAGTAGTATTCTCTCAGAGAACTTGTTAATAACTCTCATGGAGGGGCTGTTATGTGCTGGGTACTGTGCTAGGAGCATAGCACATGCTTTTATCTATAATTCTTACTATTATCCTGCAATTGTTCCAAGAGATTGTGTGACTTGTTCAAGGTTCTATGGATGGTTATCCATTTGTCTTTTATTGCTGCCCTCACCCCCAATCCCAGTTTAAAAGCCCAGGTAAATGTCATCTGCCAAAAGGTAGGAGAGTTGAATCAGATAGATCTGAGTTCAAAATAACCTTCAGCCTTTTCCTGGGTGACTTAACCTCTCTGCTGCTCACATCTTTTAAATGAGGCCAATGACACTTATCTGGATGCCATGGATATTAAAAGCCCCAGCTCAGGGCCTAGCACAGAGAGACAATACGTGGATGCCTCAATGTTGTTTTTTTTTCCCGTTCTATTTTTCTTAATTTCCCCATGCACCATACTCACCAGGCAGGTCAGTACGATATACCTCCCACTGCCACCCCCACAGCCCTCATGCATGCAAAGACCTGCTAATGTGTTTTCCTGTGCTTTCTTTAACAGAATCTTCTCCTGTACAGAGATTTAAGGAATTCCAGATCAAATCATATCCTGTACAGGATTTTAGTTCTCTGAAACTTCTGCATCTCCAGAAAGCCTGGGAGCAACAGGGGACCAGCTTCAGTAGGAAAATTAATACCCAAGAAAGCAGTCTTCCAAAGACCCTGGGCTCAAAGATCAAGTAAGCTTAGCTCTTGGCAGATAGAAGGGTCCATTCTGGTTGAAAAGGATGATGCAACTTACAGGGAAGAAATGTCAGGGATGCTGGGAAGGGGGTGGAGGTAGCAGATGCAGCTCGACCCCAAAGGTTGGGGGCTGTGGGAAAGGTAGCTTGAGAGGCACTAGGTTTGACATCCAGGAGCTGCATTCTCTATTTCTAACTCTCAGGGCTGCTCTCAGTGGTTAGCTACTTCCTTTCTCAGGGAACCCATTTGAGGAAGAAGGGGCTGGACAGAGCTTCCAGCTCTGATATTCTGTCTGTGTGTCAGTGGGCCTTGAGCCTCTTCAGAAAATTCGAACTCTCCAGAGTGGCAGTATATAAGAGCGTGGGCTTTGGAGTCGGTTCAGCCCAGGTTCACATCCTGGCTTGGCTGCTTATTTTAACTCTGTGTCCCTGGGCAAGGAACTTGACCTCTGTAAGCCTTATTTTCCTTGTCTGTAGATAATAGTGTCTAAATTTCAGGGTTGTTGCAAGCCAGCGATTGAATAAGATAATGATAACTATATCTAACACTTACGGAATATTCTGCCTGGTGCTGGATTATCTAATTTAACCCCCCTCGCAAAAACCCTGTGAGGTGAGTGTAAGTACTGCTATTGTCACTCCCATTTTTCAGGTGAGAAAACCAAGGTACAGAGAGAGATTAAGTTAGTCACTTGAGGTCACACATGTAGGAAGTGGCAGAACCAGGATTCAAGCCCAAGTAGCTTGTTAGTGCTCAGTCTTATCTAGTACAATTGTCACGATGGGAAAAGGTGGATGAGCTTTTGCCTCAGCCCAGAGAGGCTGAGGACCAGGAAAGGACACTCAGGAGGCACCAGGCTACAGGCAACTCAACACTAGGCCCCGAGCAACATAACAGCCCCCTCGCCGCCATTAAATATGGAATAAAAGTATTGCAATGATACTGATAATGGCATCAGTGTCACCATCTCCATACTGCCATAGTGCCACTTTCCTGGAGCCTTTTGCCTGTTACCATTTCTTGCCTGCTTGCCTCCGTGATGAGCATCCCATGGATTCTGAGTTTTTTTTTCTGTGATGGATATTCTTTCTAAGGTATCCAGTGCTTGAAATCCTAATCCCAGTTCTTCTGAAGGTAGAGATGGAACAGACTCTGTTTCTCTGCTATAAATCAATAAAGGAAAAAGGACAAGTTGGACCCAGAAGTGAAAAATAAAGGATATGCTGGGCATGTGCCACTTGTGTACAAGCCCCGAGGATGGGGGTGAGAATAGAAGCCAGCCTTATTTATGTGTTGGGTGAGTTCAGCTATATTTTCAGCTGATAAGTAATTTTTTTTCCTGCTTCTAATCCAAATAGCATAGCCTGTCTCTTCCTTCTATGTAGTCTGAGACCAAAGAAAGCACAAGATTGCCTGGTAAAATTAACCCCAACATGAACAAAGTACAGAGTCTCCAAGCCACCCATGGAAGCCTGTCTTTGTAAACAAACAAACAAACGAACGAACGAACGCCATCTCTTCTCTGCTTTCCCCTCAAGAAAAGCCCCACCTCCTGTTGTGTCCCTAAAGGTACAGAGCTTACTCTTTGTCAAACAGTCTGTTCCATTTTTGGACAGCTCTCAGAAATTCCTTCCTCACGTTGATCAGAAGTCAGCCAGCCAGCCTGGACCTCTCACCCAGCAGGCCTGGTTCAGCTGCGTGAGTTCATTAGCCCCCTCTTGGACACGACAGCCTTCAGGAGTTTAAAGGGGTCCTGTCTTCTTCTCTTCCAACTCTCCCCCCTTATTAAACTTCTCCAGTTCCTGATACAATCAGTCATTGGCTTGCTTTTCAGTTTTCTCACGTCTGGGAGAGGGAAGGAAGATCTCCCTGTACAGTAGAGTTGGAGCTGGTTATCTGTGGCCTCATGAACTTGCTGTGTCACAAATGAGTTCTTTTTAACAACTTGTTTAATTTCAGATCCAGGAGTCCTCATCTGATTGAGTGTCCCATGATCAATACCAAGCATGGTGATCTCCCGGAGGAGGCTTCAGTGGGGGCCTACATCAAGATCCACACCATGGACGAAGGAGAAGTCATCGTAAGTGTATAAAGAGCCTTGTTTACAATACAGTGTGTAATATGATTGGGTGGGGGTATTAAATAATGACAGTAAAGGTTTAAAAACACCCTGTTCTGTATGCAGTGATCTTAAGAAACATTATTGATTTTTTTAGATATGATAATTTAAGAATTACCATATTATGCTTATGTTTTTAAAGGGTTTTTATATTTAGGAGATACATGTCAAAATATTTACAGATAAAATATGACATCTGGAACTTGCTTTAAAATAATTAAGAAATAAGGCAAGGGTGTCCCCACTCACTACTCCTATTCAACCTTGTACTGGAAGTCCTAGCTAGTGCATTAAGACAAGAAGAGGAAATAAAATATATTCATATTGGAAAGGAAGAAATAAAGCTGTCTTTGTTTGCAGATGACATGATTGTCTATGTAGACAATTTAAAGAATAAAAACAAAAAAACTCCTAAAACTAATAAATAATTATTGCAAAGTTGTAGGGATAAGGCAATGAACAATTGGAATTTGAAATTAAAAACACAAATCCATTTGCAATAGCACTAAAAAGTAAAATACTTAGATGTAAATCTAACAAAATATGTTCAAGATCCATATGAAGAAAACTATTAACTATAATGAAAGAATTCAGAGAAGATGTAAATGAATGGAAAATATTCCGTGTTCATGGATTGTATGATTCTAATTCTGTGACATTCTGGAAAAGGCAAAATTATAGAGATAATAAAATGATCAGTGGTCACCAGAGATTTGGAGTTCAGGGAGAAGGATGAACAGATAATACACACGGGATTTTTAGGTGAGTAAAATTATTCTGTGTGTTACTGTAATGGGTTCAAATCTTTACGAATTTGTCAAAACCCATAGAACTTTATACAGCACAAAGGATGAACCTTAATGTATGTAATTTGTAAAAACAGAAGACATTGTCTGGAAGGTCAGGGGATCCCAGGAAGGAATAGACTATGACAAGAGAATCTAACAATATTATAGATGAATGAAACCACCTCAGTGAAGGGAGTGAGAGAAAAAATTGCTGATGACCTAAGTATTTGGAGATGACTGGAATCTGTAAGGCTAAAAGCAAAAGGTACTAGAGTACACAAGCATTGTATTCTAGTTCACAAAGTTTTTTCCCATTGGTATATGCATTAATAATCAATACTTCTGTACATGTATACTGAAATGGATCAATTAAATAAATGAATGGCAGGTGGTAGCAGCCAGGTATCTTGCCACTGCAGTAGAAATTTGCAGATAAGCAAGGGCAAGAGGTTAGAATGATCCATGTGGTAATCAATTAGAGTTGAAGACAGTATGCACTCATGTTTAGCTTAATATTGATACAGATAGTTACATATAGAAATATTTATAAATATATGTATAAACATGTATCTTTTGCCCTGTCAGCTGATAGGGCCTAAAAGAAATGACACTCCTATAGCAATGAGCACACTTAGCACCCAGATCTTGGTGTCTCATACCATTCTTCAACAAGAAGAAAAGGGTTCCTTGGGAAATGATTGATTCTAAGACTAGAGCAAGGAATATTCAAAATGAACCTGGGATATTTTGTAGTGCCAGGAAATACTCAAAGTATAAAATAAACATCCATGAGTACACACTAATGCAAAGCATAAATAATAAATAAATTAATAAAAAGAAGAGAAGAGACAAACCTCTGCATAGAAGAATTCCAAATACTTTATGTAGATACCCTGCCCTAAAGGAGAGGATGCATATAACTCCCTGCTCTTTAGGTGTGGGTTACACATAGTGATTTCCTTCCAAGAAGTACAGTATGGAAAGAGGGGAAAAAGTAACTTTATAGTGGTAAAACCTGAGAAACTACCACAACCCGGTGATCAAGGCCAACATCGACAGTAGTAAGCCATGTCAATAGTATGTTCCCTCGATACAATATGATAAAAACTGGATATGTGATGAGAATGGCACTTTATCTCTGTGGTCCTCTTCTGGAGCTCTGGGTGTAGCCAGTCATCTTAGTCTGGGAAGCTGCTCACTCACATATGCTCTTTCCACTGTTCCTCAATTACAGTGTCTCCAGAGTCCTCATCATGCCCTTCTTACCAGTGAGTGGCAGGCTCTTTAATGCTTCTGCCCTGCTGGACTGCATATCTTTGGAGGCAGGAAGGTCAGCTTAGTACTGTCTGGGTGTCCCAGGCACTACCTCAGCCCTTGGTCAGTGCCCATAGAGTATTTCGAGCTCTTAGGAATCTTTCTTTTATTCAGTAAAACTCTGCCTCCTGCAACTTTAACTGGCGCCCTGTACCTCCTCCCACCATAGGACATCCCCAAGAACAAAACAGAAGAAATCAGCTTCCTTGCCATGTGATGGCCCTAAGTATTTAGAGAATTCTGTTTTGTTTTTCATTCGGCATGTATGGAACTAGGCACAGTGCCAAAGCGCTGTTTCTTATTTTCTTATTCAGGCAAAACATCCTCCATTCCTTCAGTTAGTCTTCAGGTGATGTAGTTTGCAGCCTTCTTACGCTCCACGTCACTGAAGTTTGTCAGTGTTTCTGAGTGAGGTGCTCTAGACTGAACACAGGCTGCCTGAGGCCAGCTGCCTGGCCCATAAATGCAGCCTGGCACATTGCAAGACAGAAGAGCCAGGGATGCTTGGTCCCTGGGCAGAACGGAGGCACCAGAGGGCAGGGAAGGCATTGTCCTTTTTGGTATATGGTGAGAGGAACATGAGTCTATGTAGGCTGGCACAGAAACAACAGGATGCATACTGTAGAGGGCCTGCAATGCCAGAATAGGAGCCTTGGACTTGATTTTCTAGGAAGACCTGGCCGGCTCTGGGTGGGGCTTAGGGCAAGGACCTGACTACTTCATTCACCACACAGAGCCCAGTGCAGAGAAGGGCACCTACAAATATTTCTTAACAGGACCCTTTTAATGAAGATGCTTGTGGATGTGCCTTTGGTAAGACCCTTTCCCTGCTTTCAAGGCCCTGGCTTCATTTGCAGGAAAATGAATGATAATAGCTGTTATTATATCACTGACCAGAAGATAGGAAATCACATGTTCCTCTCCTTGGGAGCAAGAGGTGGAGCAGGGTTGGACCTGGAAAAATGAAAGCCTGGGACCCTGAGCAGAGACCTAGGTTTTGAGCCAGGAGGCATTAGGGAAACACGTTCTCCAGAGAACAGGCATCTCGAGACCTCAGGGATGGTCAGGACTGGGCAGGTCAGGGCCACGGAGAGAGCAGAAGGAAGATGACACATTGCAAGGGGGTGGTGTCTTATTCTCATTTTGTTTCTAATTAGACAGCTGTGTGGCCTTGGGGAAATCACTTTATTTCACTGAATATGTGTTTTCATCATAAAATTAGGAAATTCACCTTAGTGAATTTCCAGCTGTGACGTTCTGTGATTCCATCGGAACATCATTCAGCAGGTATTTCTCGAGCATCTACCATGCTCCAAGCATTTTACAATGTACCAGTGTCAGTGAGAAAAGTGACATCATTCCTGACTTCATGGGGTTTACAATCTAGTCTGGGAATAGAAAATACAGAGATAAATTAGCAAACACATAGAAAGTTGCAAATTGCTGTTAGGAACAGAGTAGAAAACTGGGTTGTGGGGGCGGGCTTCTTAAATAGGGTGGTCAAGGAAGGCTGCTCTGAGGAGGTGATATTTTTAAGCTGAGACTTGAATGATGAAAAGAACAAACTATGGATAAACTGAGGGAAGAGTATTCCAGATAAAGGAAGAGCAAGTTCAAAGCCTGAGGTGGGAGAGAGCTTGGCATGTTGAGGGGACTGGAAGGGATAGCAGTGTGGCTAGAACAGGGTAAACAAGGCAATGTGAAGTCAGGCTAGAGAGCCCGGCAATGGTGAGATAGCCCTGGCCTTAAGCTATTTGAAGGGTCTAGGCAGAGGAGGGGCCTGCGCCCCTACTAGGGTGTTGGGGGTGGATTGGAGGTGGATAGGAGTGCCAGAAGACAGTGCTGCCCTTAGAGAGGCCCTGAAAAGATCACTGGGTTCGAATACTGGCTTCACCACTTTCTGTTCATAGGCAGGTTACTTAACCTCTTTGGGCGTTAGTTTCGACATAGTATAGTGGTTGAAAGCATGGACTGTGAAGACAGGCCACCTGGGTTCAAATCCTAGCTTTATTGCTTCCATGCTGTTATGTTCAATAAGTTTCTGAACCTCAGCAGAATCCTCTATAAATGAGGACTCACCTCATGGGGCTGTTGTGAGGGTTACATGAGTTAATATACACAAAAGTTACAGGAGGGGCTGGGATTTAGCGAATGCTCAGTAAACTTAGCTGGTGCTGTCGTCATTATATCACCATTATCATCATCATCATTATTATCATTGTTAATTACAAGGTATATGACTTTTGGTGAGTAAGTTTCCTTTTCTGGGCCTCATTTCCACAACTGAGGATGATAATCCCTATCTCATAGGGTGGTTGTGAGGATTAAAAAAAAATACACACACGCACATGTATGTATGTATGTATGTATGTATGTATTTCTAATATAGAGTAGGAACTAAAGGGCAGCCATTATGGTTTCTATGCAAGGTCTGGCACTACAGAAGGGCCTTCACACCCTCTGTACTGAGCATAACTGATTTGTGAGGTGCTTCGTGTCTCCCAGAACATCCTTACACACGCCGTCTTATTTGGACCTTCACCAACTCTCTAGAACCTAAATGGTGGTGGTGACAGGGTTGCTGTTCCAAATCCCACTTCACATCTTTCAAATTCAGAACGCTTCAGAGACAGCATTTCACAGATGGCTTAGGGAGGTGGAACTTGCCCAAAGTCACACAACAAGTGAACAATTGGCTCTTCCTTCTTAAGCCAGGATTTTTCCCGATCCCAGGTGGCCTTCTTAAAGCTGCCCTCTTGGTTTATGGGCCCCCTTCTGCTTAAACCCTAAAAGGTAGGATACTGGAGGCTCTGGAGCCACTGACCTCTCCTCTCACTACCTAAGTCTTAATAGCTGAGAATGCTGAGGCGTGAGCATTGGATTGAGAATTCAGCAACAAGGGCTTTGTTCCATCTCAAGGTGTCTCCTTAAAAAGGGGGTTACACTCTGTGTAAAACAACCAGTTATGCCTATTGACTTCCATCTCCCTTCCAGATGCAACCAGATAAGGATCCTTGCAAGGGAAACAAAGGAGCATCATAAGCTGCAGAGAGGAGGCCAGTGGCCTCCAAAGTTTATGCAGGATGGAAAAAGAACTGAGGTTCAGTAGGGACATGCATTTAGGAGCAAAGACCTGCAGAAAAGAATGGGGGAGGGGTGGTAGCTGCAAAAGGGAAGGTTTAGAAGAGGAGGACTTCCTCTTTGATTTTTGTCATAGTCCTAAGGAAGAGAAAATAGACTTACTTGGCACAAGGAAGTGTTGAGATTGGATATTAGGGAAACCTTGTAAAATGCCATCCCCTGGAGAGTGACTGTGGGTATGATTCTGGGAGAGAGCCAGCTGCCTGCAGGTAGGAAGAGGCGGGGGGCAAATGCCTTAATGGCTCTTCTAATCTGAGGAGTGGGAGGATTCGATGTCGTGTAGCAAAAGGAGTCCTGGACTCCTCCCCATCATTTGCCAAATGACCCTAATGGATTCACTTCCTGTTTGCGGCCTTGTTTTTCCCATTTAGAGTATCTGCCAGTAGAAGCCTCTGAGGTCAAACGTTCTGGGACTTTTGTTCTCTAGGGCCTTCACCAGCTCCTCCTCCCATATAACCAACAAGACACGCGGCCCTTGATCCTCCAGAGTTTGGGAGTTGAGTTGATAACGGTGAGGAGAGAAAAATTTCGTGAACTGATGGACAGCAAGGTAACAGAAAAGTTGTCTAGGTTCGACATCAAGTACCCCAGGTCAGTGCTGGATATGTGTGTACACCCCACGAGATCAAATTAACACAGTTTCACCTGTTATTTTAGTAAAAGAAAGAATAAAATGTTAATACCTAATGCTACAAAGGATGGATGAAACTGGTAGTTGTTGCTAGATTCTAAATTGCCTCAATCCTTTGGATAATATAATTTTACTATGTTTCAAGGGCTGTAAAACTGTTCCTACCCTTGAAAGCAGTGGTCCACCCATGAATTTATCTTTATATAGCTAAGTTATAGGGAAAACTACATGCATTAGAATGTTCATAGCATTTATATTCGTAATACAGAGAAAAACCACCACCACCATCCACACATGTTATAAGGGGATAGTTTAGAAAATTGTGGTCCATTCACTTGATAGAATATAACTGTTTCATTAAAATTATAAAAGTTTAATGGCTCCAATAGCAGGAGAGTAAAATGGGTAATATAATGATAATGAAAAGGACAGGGTACAAAATTGTGTTTACACCATGACTATGCCTTTGTAAAACACAAGCGAAAAATCTAGAAGGAGATAGGCAAAACTGACAATTGCTGTGGTATTGCCAAATTTGTAATTGTCATTCTTTTTGGAAGGTGGGACTAAAAGGGACTTTTTAGTTATAGTTATATATTCCTCTCATTTTGTTCTTGCAATGAGTATGCATTGCTTTTTTATGAGGGAGAAAAATATGGTAAAAGTTGTGTCAGGGTAGTGACACTCAGTGAATTTTTTCTTTATTCTCCAAATTTTCTGTAATGATGGTATATTACTTTCATAATTAAAAAAGATAAATATCTTGAAAGATTCAGTAAAAGATTTTTTTTACTATTTCCTCGTTTTCAAACTTTCCAGAGTGAATACTTTTATAATGTAAAAAAAATTATTTTTTATGTAAAAATTAATCTATTGCCTATACCAGGTCACAAAACTGTTTTGATCTTACACTCTGTTACTAAAAAGTATTTGAATGGATTTTCTCTAAGAATAGATATGTAATATAAACAACACATAATTAATTTTTATTATATCCACATATTGCTGTACTATATATCATATACATTATAAACATAAAAATAGATCTTTAAAAACAATAAGAAAAGGTAGCTATAAATGAAGTCCTATTATTTTCTTCTTTTTTTTTTAAATCTTCACCTGAAGATATGTTTATTTATTTTAGAGAAAGAGAGAAAGATCTATCAAACCTCCCATACATGCCCCAATCAGGGGTTAAACCACAACGTTTTTGGTGCATGGGATGATGCTCCAACCAACTGAGCCACCCAGCCAGGGCTGAGTCCTATTTTCTTTATACTCTCCTCCTACTACTTTCCTCATCTTGTTCATCTCTCTGGGTGACATGCCCCTCAGCCCCACTTTGGGACCCCCAGCCCAGACTCCTACAAGTCTTACCACTGGGAACCCTGCGTCAATCTCCTCCTCACCAGATCCCTTCTGCTCTTGCTAAAACTTAAATCTGGCCATGTTATACTCCTACTTAAACCTTGCAGTGGTAACCTGACCCATGTAGTTCAGTTGGTTGTGTGTCATGAGCAAAGTGAAAGGTCACCGTTTGGATATCCTCAGGCCACATGCTTGGGTTGTGGGTTCTGTCCCCTGTCAAGCCTCATAAGAGATTGATGTTTCTTTCTCACAGCAATGTTTCTCTTCCTCTCTTTCTCCCTCCCCTCCCTTCTCTGTACAAATAAATAAATTAAATCTTTTTTAAAAAAAAACAAACAACACAAACTTTCAGTGGTATCTCACTGCCTATAGGATACAGTGCAGACTCAGTGCCACATAAATGGCTCTTCATAGCATGACCCCTCAACTTCCCTGCAGCTCCTCCTGCCCTGCCTCCAACCCACTTCCGCAACCCAGGCAGATGGCCCCCTGGACCCTACACATGTTTGCCTTTGCCCTCGTAGGCCTTCCTGCCTGAAATGCCATCTCCCAATCCTGTCCCTCTTTTTCTGATAAATTCCTGCTCATTCTTTAAGATTCATCTCCAGAAAACCTTTCCTGACTGACCCCCAGTTGGTTAGTACCCCTTTCTGTACACTCATCATGCTCCCACCACAGCTCTAATGTGGACCATACACATTGTATTATAGCTGTTGAGAGCTGTGTAGTTTGTACAGTTCTTTCTCCACCACTTGGTTAATTGCTTCACAGAAGCAGGGATTGTGCTTTGTCTGTCTTTCATCTCTAGCACTTGTACAGTACCTGATAGGTGCCCAATAAATGTTGAATGAGTGGGGCATACTCATTGCAGAAAACTGGAAAATGCTGAACATTGAAAAAGTGACAACCAAAGTCATTTGCATTGCTTCAGCAATCCCAATTAACATTCTGTGTATTTCTTTTTAGTATTTTTTTAACCACATGGATATGTGCCAAATTTATAATTTATCATTCATACACACACAGTTTTATGATGGAGATCATGCAGATTATACAATTTTGCATCCTCCCCCATTTTCTTTTCATGTGATATTGTGATCAGACTTGGTTTTTCTGGCCAGGGTTGGAAGCAAGTGATTCCAGTGTTAGAGCGAGCGGTGGTGTGAAGGCAGGCAGATCTGTAGTTATGTCCCATAAGCTCCTGAAAGGATTTAGTTTGGGATCGGTATGACCTTGGATAAGTCGTTTCTTTTCTCAAGGCTCCAGACTCCGATCTGCAAAACCAGAAAATTAGACTAGAACAGTGTTCCCTAAAGTATGGAACACATTCACAGAAGGTTCACAAGATAATTTATTGACATTGTCAGTTTTAACAGCTATGTATTTATTCTAGTGTGAATTAGAAAATAACATGACTCATTCACTAAACCTATGATCTGACAGATTTTGTTGCTTAGAACAAAGCCAAAGTAGATATTTAACTGAAAGAAACTAAGTAGATTTAAGGAAAATCATTAGTAAATTTAAAAAAACAGATAATAAATAGATATGGCCCAAACTGGGGCAGTTTTGTGAGAAAAACAAGCTGGGAAACAGTGGTGGTTCTTTGCAGTTCAAAAATGCCACAATTCTCCATGTCCTACCCATATAGAAAATGGCTATTTAGAGCCATCTACCCAAGGAACAATTTAAGGAGCCTTAGCTCCTCGCATAATGCTTGGCATATGATGAGTGTCAGTTAATGTCTGTTGAATTGAAATTCAGAAAAAGTTTGCACAGATTTGAGGGTGGCAGATGTTGGGGCTGCCCAGTCAGCACTTCGTGGCAATCATCTATACTGCTGACAGATTGAAATCTGGCTTATTCATTAATGGTCGAACTCATGGTTTCCTAGACTGCTAAAGCAGGCAGAAATCATATCCCTTATCTAGCTCAAATCCTTGTGTTTTAACTGAGGACCATGAAGCCCAGGAGAGGGGCTGTGACATCCTGTATGTCACAGTCAGTGGCCAGGGCACCTGTCCTGTGAATGCTTCAGGCTAGATAACTTGAAACCTCTTTCCCTACAAACATGTGGAGTGCCACGTAGAATATAATCACAAGAAAGAAGGAAACTTCCCCAAGGAGAAAATTAAAAACCAAAGCACAGAGGGAGATCTAGTGTTGGGATTGCCCAGCGAGGGCGGGAGTTTCAGGGAATCCTGTGTTGAAGTGGTACATCCTGCAAGGACAGAGGAACCTTCAGTTTAAGTGAGTCAGGGATTGGAACTAAAACACCTGCATGAATCTGAACTTTCTAGAAAAGCTACCCCATTTAGTGAAAAACTAGACTAGAAATCGGTATGACCATCAGCATCAGGAGTAACATGGAATTTTGTCTTTCTTAACTTGGAAAAAGAAGAGCGCCTAAGAATCTGTAATTGTCTGCTTGCCCCCCTCAGAGTTTGGTGAGTCCCTTAGCCTCTTTGGCCACAGTTTCTATGTTTGTGAATTGGAGTGGTTATGAGGATTAAAGTAATTAACAAATGTAAAGTATTTGGCACATGGTTAAGTGCTAAGTCAGAGTTGGACAGTGTTATATTTATTATGTAAGAAATTGGAAGTTAATGGAAATTTTTAATGAAGACTTTCCAGTGGTGTGCTGGTGAATGTTTAACAACAAACTCTCTGGAAGATGGGAGGTAACCCTGATTTGAAGTGTTTACCAATTTCTGTAATGTACACACTCCCACCATACCCAATTTCAAGCCATCAACTTGATGTCTTTGAACACAGAGTTGAGAAGAGATGTACACAATCAGCCCTTGTGCGCTGGTGGGAGCTGACTTTGATGCACCTCTGAGACCAATAGGACTAGCTTGTAGCCCACTTCGATCTCTGGAATTTTTATGAAGTTAATCTCTGTGTGTCAAAGTGGACTCTGTTCTGGTCAAATAGACCAGAAGAATGTTATCTGCTTTTGATTTTCGATGCTTGCCTCCTTAGGTGAGAGTACAGGCGAGTCAATGGAAATTGAACATGCCCTTCCCTTGCTGTGGTCTCGGAAGGAAATAAGCCAGTGAGTGCTGAGCCCATGCCACCCTCCCCTGCTTTCCCCACCCTCACCTGCTGTGAGGGTAGGAGGCAGAGTGGAGCCAGGACACCAAGGCCTGTCCAAGGCAGCTATCAATCTGCTTTCTGTCTTTATACGTCTGTTACTAGACATTTCATGTAAGTGGCATCCTACAATATGTGGTCTTTTGTGACTTGCTTCTTCATGTATTTTCAAGGTTCATCTATGTTGCAGCATGTATCAGTACTTTATTCCCTTTTATTGTCAAATAATATTCCATTGCATGTGTGTACCATACTTTATCTATTCATCAGATAGTGGAGAATTTGGTTGTTTCTACTTTTTGGCTATTATGAACAATGCTGCTATAACCTTCTTGTGCAAGTATTTTTAAAAGTATATTGTATTGATTATGCTATTACAGTTATCCCAGTTTTTCCCCTTTGCCCCCCTCCACCTGGTACCCCTATTTCTTCCAGCAGTCCCTTCCCTTAGTTCATGCCCATGGGTCATGCATGTAAGTTCTTTGGCTACTCCATTACTTATACTGTTTTTAACATCACCCTGCTCATTCTGTACCTACCAATTTGTACTTCTTAATCCCTACACCTTTCCCCCCATTCTCCCCCTCCCCCTTCCCAACTGATAGCCCTCCAAATAATCTCCATATCTATGATTCTGTTCCTGTTTTGCTTGTTTGCTTAGTTTATTTTGATTCAATTATAGATAGTTGTGAGTTTATTGCCATAATAACAGCTTGGTGATAGTGAACTCCTTTAGTTTTACCTTGTCTGGGAAGCATTTTAATTCTAAAGTGCTTCAATTCCAAATGATAGCTTTGCTGGACAGAGTAATTTAGGTTGTAGGTCCTTGCTTTTCATCACTTTGAATATTTCTTGCCAGTCCCTTCTTGTCTGCAAAGTTTCTTTTGAGAAATCAGCTGATAGTCCTATGGGAACTCCTTTGTAGGTAACTCTGCTTTTCTCTTGCTGCTTTTAAGATTCTCTATCTTTAACCATTGGCATTTTAATTATGATGTGTCTTGGTGTGGTCCTCTTTGGGCCCAACTTGTTTGGGACTCTCTGTGCTTCCTGGACTTGTATGTCTATTTCCTTCACCAAATTAGGGAAGTTTTCTTTCATTATTTTTTCAAATAAGTTTTCAATTTCTTGCTCTTCCTTTTCTCCTTCTGGCACCCTTATGATTCAGATGTTGGTACATTTAATGTCCCTGAGATTCCTAAGCCTATCCTCTTTTCTTTTTTAATTATTCTTCCTGCTGTTCTGATTGAATGCTTTTTCCTTCCTTGTATTCTAAATCATTGATTTGATCCTCGGCTTCATCCTCTCCCTTGTTGGTTTCCTATAGATTTTTCTTTATTTCACTTAATGCAACCTTCATTTCTGCCTGGGCCTTTTTTTATGGTGTTGAAGTACCCGATTAGTTCAGGAGCATCCTGATAACCAGTGTTTTGAACTGTGCATATGATAAGTTGCTTATCTCCATTTTCTTTAATTCTTTTTCTGGAGTTTTGTTCTGTTCTTTCATTTGGGCCACATTTCTTTGTCTCCTCATATTGGCAGCCTTCCTGTGTTTATTTCTGTGTATTAGGTAGAGCTGCTTTGAACCCCTTAGAAAGGTGCACTTGTTAAGTTGTATGGGGTGGAGCCTTAGGTAACTGCCAGATGGATGGGGCAACCCATGTCACTGCTCTGTTGCACTGTGTTGGGGAGGGCTTACAGAGGGGACAGTGCCGCTGCCAGGCCTCTGGAGTTTCGCCTGGGGGGACGCTGTCTCCCAGCACTCACACTTCACTCTCTCCCTGTATGCCATTGGTGCCCTTCCAGCTGTTGTCCTGGTGATGAGTTCCAGAGGGGGTGGGTCTGCGTGAGTTCTAAGTCCGTCATGGACCCTTTAAGAGGAGTCTCTTGAGACTCTTGCCGTTTATTCTGCTTCCCCACCATCCACTGGTTTTCTTAGCTAGAGTTATGGGGACTTAACTTTCTGGTGCTGGAACCCTGGGCTGAGTGGTCTGGACTGGAGCTGGGATCCCTTGCTCCAGAGGTATCCCTCCTGTTTTTTTATCCATCACACATGGATGTGGGACTGCCTGTTTCCATCTCTGCAAAGCTCCACATATCTCCACACCCATCCCTACCTCTCTGAGCCTCTCCTCGCCTCCACCTCTCCTGTCCAACTGGATGAATGTAGCTTCTTTAGATCCTTGGTTGTCTGACTTCTACACAGCTCAATTTTCTGACAATTCTGGGTGATACCTGTTTTGTAGTCTAGTTGTATTTTTTGCTGTAATTGTGCACAGTGCAAGGCGTGTTTACCTATGACTCCATCTTGACCAAAAGTGAACCTCTTGTGCAAGTTTTTCAGTGGACGTTTGTTTCCATTTCTCTTGGGTATAAACCTAGGAGTAGACTTGCTGGGTCATAAGCTAACTCTGTTAACCTTTTAAGGAACTGTCAGACTGTTTTCCAAAGTGGCTGCACCAGTTTACATTCCACTAGTAATGTATGGGAACCCTTGTTCCAGTATTTTCACATCCTCATCAACACCTATTATCTGTCTTTTTAATTATAGCCACTTTTATGGGTGTAAGTGGTATCTCACTTTGTCTTTGATTTACATTTCCCTGATGGCTAATAATCACATATGTAATTTAAAAATTTCAGTAGCCACATTAAAGAAGTAAAGTGGATGAAATTAATTGTAATAATATATTTTATTGCATTCAGTATATCAAAAATATTATCATTTCAACAGGTAATCAACATCAAAATTATTAATTAGGTATTCTACATTCTTTTTTTGTTCTAAGTCTTTGAAATCGGGGGTATGTTTTATACTCACAGCACATCTCTAATTCAGAATGACCACACTTCAGGTGCCCAATAGCCATATGTGGCACATTATATGGAACAGCACAGGTCAGTGTGGAAAGGTAAAGGAAGCAGAGAGAAGAATCTGGGAAAAGCACCAAGGCAGAAAGTAGTAGATTGTGTTTAGGGATTGCAAAGAGTGGTGGGAGGTGAAGTTGGAGGGGCAGAGGGACAGGGAGGAGCTGGCGTAGGAACCTCAGCAACTGTGCTTTACCCTCAGCGATGACGATATGTGCCAGAAGTGCCTCATGGAGAACAGTTGGAATATCTTTCGGAAGGACCTGGTGAGGCTGCTGGTGGAGCCTCGTCAACATCTACCATTCACCCAAATCCGGCACAAGAAGAAAGGGATCTACAACCCCAAGTCTCTGACGCTGGATTTGTACAGCTTCAATAAGAAGACTAAACCTAATCATCCCATTTTTATTGCACACGAGAAATCCCTCCCTCCATTGAGGGTTGTGCAAGCCATCACAGCACCCCGGTACAAAATCCAAGAACTCCTGCCTCAGTACAAGAATGCTGGGGTCCTCATTTAAACCCAATAAAGGATGTGGGTTTGGCCACCATGTTTCCTGAATGACTACCATAGGAGCTGTGGGGCTTGGAGTGGGGAGTGATGGGGCTGAGCTGTGGGTCTGGAGAGATGTCTGAGGACAGCAATGGGGACACTGTCTCCCTTGACACTTAGGGAGCTGGGTGAGTAGATGGTCGGGGGCTGGGTGTGGATGAGTTAATCACTGGGGATGGTCTCAGGGTGGGAGGATCTTACCTAACAAGATGGATGGGAGACACAGAGGGGCTCAGATCAAAGTGAGCAAGACAGATTGTGAACTTAAATGCCTTCCAAGGGCAGACAAGTGACCTAAAGGACCACAGCGGAAGGACTAGGGAGGCAGCCGGGATGGCTGGGACTGGTGTGTACATTCCCATCCTGATGGAGCAGCTGCTCCTTGGACCCCGTCAGTTGATGCCATGCCAGGAAGTAAGTGCAAGTAAGTCAGGCCTGTTGCTGCTGGTCTATTTTTCAAGAGAACCAGGAAACCCAATATATAAGAAGAGTCCTACTTGTTTTTAAATGTGGGCAACTAATTCAAATTGTTTTTGAAATACTGTGTTAGGCAAACAAAACACATATGTAGGCTGTGTTGGGCCTACAAACTGCTATTCTGCCAACGCTTATCAAGCACCTCCGTCAGACTGCCGGGGACTGGAGAGAGGAGGGACTGTGGGGGGAGGTGTAAGAATCCACAGAGAGAGAGGTAGGGAGCGTGACAGGAGTGGCAACCTGGGTCAAGAATGAGGAGCAAGCAATGTGGCAGAGAGGAGGCAGGCCAGAGACACAGAGGTGGCTGGTTGGACTTAAAGAGTGCTCCTTAGTCCCTCTGGGAAGGGCTCCTGATTTTGCCGCCACCTCTCCCTGACCTGAGCTGGCTTTCCTGTGGGTAGCCCTGGGCCTAGAACTGAAACCTCCTGCCTTTTAGCCTCAGTACCACAGATCCCGTGCCCAATCACCTCTCTCCCTTGGGAAACCCCATCGTTTAGCTTGGACAGTGCCAAGGGGTCTGGTGGAGGCCACAACAGCACAAGAACCTGGCCTGGCCACCAGGAGAGAGATGAGCCCTCCCCCACCCTACACAATCTCTCACCTCCCCAACCCCTAACAAGTTGTGGAGCCTGAGGGGCCCCCGAGTACTTAGCTGGATGTCAGGAGCTCTGGAGAACCTGGCTCTGTTCCCTTCTCACTGACCCCCCTTGAGCATCTTGAGTCCTTTACCTGCACCCCAGTTTCTCCAGTGGCAAAGTGAGCAAGTTGGGCAAGATCAATGGTGTTCATGAGTGAGGGGTGAGTATAGTTTGAAAAGCATATTCAGCATCCTTTTGTATGTTGAATTCAAAAGAAAAAACTTCAGTGTTGCACAGCAAAGGAGGAGAAGTATGGAATTTTTCTATCAGAAGGGATATGGGTGTATAAGGGTAGAGAAACAGTGTGGATTTTAATGATCTCAACTTCCCTGATAGCTACAGAAGGTCAGGGAGTCTGAGACACCTGCGGAAGTCCTGAAAGGGCTGTCTGTGACTTACAAGGATGGGATGGCACTGTTCAGGAACCTGGTAAGTGGGAGTGTCTGACTTTATTTGGGATCTCTTTACACGTAGGGCTATGGCTCCAAGCTGATGGTGCCTACATTTTGTTCATTCATTTGTAATTTATTAAGCACTTGCCCCGTAGCAGGTTCAAAGGAGGATAAGAGGCCATCTCTCTTCTTCTATTCTCTAGTCCAGGGGTCAGCAAATCCTTTCTATAAAGAGTGAAATAATAAATAGTTTAGGTTTTGCCAGCCATACAGTCTCTGTTGTAACTACTCAACTTTGTATGGTGAAAGCAGCTTTTGTGTTCTAATAAAACTTTATTTACAAAAACAAGTGGCAGGCCAGATTTGGCCTGTTAGCCATAATTTGTTTACTCCTGCTCTAGGCAATAGGAAGCCCTTGAAGGTTCTTGAGCAGATATGATATGGTGAGAGAAGCTTATTACTGAGCACTTATTTCTATGACAGCCATCTGGCTAAGCATCTGACTGCGGAATCTGATGACCTTTGGGCTAAGATCCCAGCTTTGCCACTTAACGGCTGTTGAGGATTAAAAGAGTTGGTACATCTACAGCAGGGTGGAGGATTGTATTCGCCTAGACTCCTGGATTCTGCTTTTTGGAAAGTGAGAGAAAAAATTTCCAGAACAGGAGTCAGATCCTGTGTCCTAAGAGAGTGGTGGGTGATGAAACAGACTAGAAGGGCAACCTGAGAGAGAAGGTGCTATGTGGGGAGAGAGACTCTGGGGGTTGGGCTCTGGAAAGTCTTGAGGGCAGCAGAGAAAGGGCAAAGCTTTTTCTGAAGCCATTAGTTAACAGAAGAGACTGAGAATGAGAAATGTCTAAAGAGAACTTCAAAGGGCTTTTCTGTGCATTGAGAATGTGTTTCTCCTTTGGCATTTTCTTGAGAAACCAAGTACACATTTGAATATCTCTTAACTAGGTTTTATGCAGTACTGCTATTGGACTTCAGTCACCAAACAGAGAGTGGGCAGCAGGAGGCCCCAGTTATATTTGGGTTAGATACATACAGTCCCCAGTACATAGTAAGTACTCAATACATATAAAATATTATTAGCACCTTTTTGACTGAGACCAATTTGGCCATCCGGAGACCCTCTTCCCCTTTCAGTGGAATAGAAACTGAGGTTTTGGAAGGCTAAGCCTTTATAATTAGTGATAAAGGCCACTCCCAAAAGATTTGGGGAGAGGTGGTCCTGGCTGGGATCTTGCCCAACCCCTACACTCTTCACTAAGTGAAATGATTACTGTCAACATTAAGGGTCAGCCTCAGAGGGAGGGAGAACAAGCAAGTCAGCAAAGCATCAGCATGTGTTGTGGGTGAGGGTGCTGTTGCAGAACAGGTGGGTGGGATGGTGTGGGGAGAGCTTGTGATTGCTTGTAAGTGTGCAAGAACCTCCTAACTTCTAAACTGTGAGCTTCAGAATGAGTAGTGGTTCTCAAGGCTCCCTCCCTCTCCCCCACATACACTCAGCAAAATGGAGCAGTGATCAGAATCAGGCAGGGCAGGAAAGTCAGGATTTCTTTGCTCATTCAGAGGAGCAACTATGATACCCCTCGACACAAGTGTTATCCACAGACTATGTCTTCAGAACTACAGAGGTCCTCACTGACCACCTGGGTACAGATTCAGGGGCCAGGAAGCCCACAGTGATCTGTCACGAGGGAGAAGGACCCAGGCTCGGATACTGGGTGCCCAGCATGTGCCAGGTACTATGTCAGACACTTGGCAGAGGCCATCACGTACCCTGAAAATATTTCCTGGCCATTCTCTAGGTGGCATTATCCCCATTTGATGGATGAAGAGCCTGAGGCTCAGGGAGGCAAAAGCCTGTCTAAGCTCACTGGGCAATCGGGCGGTGGTTCCAGGAAATCCCTGCGCTTTCTCTGCACCCCAGTGCCCTCCTAAGCAGTCAGTATTATAGTGCATGTACTGTTATGCTACACTATCATCTATCCCACATGCGCCACCTGTTTTCAAAAAAGAAATTCTGTGCACACAACCCGGGAACTGTGCTGGAGAGAATATAATCACCCTCTGGAATGATTTTCCATATGTAAATAAGCACAGTCATACTTGGAGAGGCACACCCAGGCCACTGGAGCCAAAAATATAGCCCCCAGCACTAACAGCTTCCACTGTTTGGGGAAAATGAAAAAACCCATTTGAAAAATAAACACAGGAGATGGTGCCAGTATTTGTTAGAGGAAGTGTTTAAGATCCCATCTTGGGTCTGGAAGCAAAAGCATTCTTTAAATCCTCTCTTCCTTTTATGTAACTCATGGAAAAATCATACTTTCCAGTTACAGAAGTCTGAGGGGTGAAATGGGTCACTTTGCAACTTCCAGAGTACCACCAGAGGCCATTTTGCTGGGGTGCTTTTCTGCTCTTTGGGGATTTGGGGGTTTAACCACAAGGGTGCTGAGTTGCAGGATCTGTAATCACTGGTTCAGAGCTGACAATGAGATTGAGTAGTTTCTAGGTGCAGAAAGCTGAAATGAGGGTTTTTCATGGCTGCTGAAGGCTCTGGGCCTCAGCCCTGGGAGAGAGCTGGGGACAGTGGGAAGGTGGCATGCTGGGACATGTGCTGAGTGACTTCCAGCCAGCCTCCTTCCCTTCCTGGAGCTTCACTGTTATCATTTGTGAAATCTGAGGGGCCCAGTACATGTTCTTCAAGCCTCCCTCCAGACCCAAGGGTGTGCAGGACCCCTGACCCTCTCTCTTCTTTGGCACCTACCTATTCTACTTCCAAAGCTTTCCCACTCTCAAGAGAAAATCAGAATTGAGAAGAAAATGGGTTATTGAGACCTTTAGTAAAGGGTGAATATGAACTGTGGTTGAGATAATGGTATTGTATTAATGTCAGATATCTTGATGTTGGTAATCGTACGGTGTTTATGTGGGAGGATCTCCTTGTTCTTACAAAATACACACTTAAACACTTGGCCATTAAGGGAGATGATTTCTTTAACTTACTTTTGGATGATTTAGAAATATATTTGTATATTTAGAATGGCAAAGCAAATAAAGCAAAGTGATAACAATTGGAGAATCTAGGTGAAGGATATTTTAGGAGTTCTTTAAGCCATTTTGCAATTTAAAAAAATGATTTTTTAATCATAAAGTACACATAAAATTTACACTCTCAACTATTTTTAAGTGTACAGTTAGTTCAGTGACATTAAGTACATTCACACTGTTGTGCAACCTTCACCACCATCCATCTCCAGAAACTTTTCATCTTGCAGAACTGAAACTCTATACCCATTAAATAATAACGCCCCCCTCCCCCTTCTCCCAGCCCCTAGCAACCACCATTCTACTTTCTGTCTATATGAGTTTTATTACTTTAGATACCTTATATAAGTGGAATTATACAATACTTGTCAATTTGTAAATGTCTTATTTCACTTAGCATGATACGC